GTGATGGGCCATAATAATCATTTACATTGTATGTTGACAAAATAAAAATTAAAAAAAAATATATATATATATATATATATATATATATATCTTATTTCTCATAAAAAAAAAATAGCAGACATAAATGGAACACTACAGTGTTTTCTCTGTAAAAGTTCCTTCTAAAATTGTGAGCTAATTTCTCAAATGTCATATTTTTCTAGGAAAGAGGGTATTAAGAAAAAAAACATTATATACCTCATGTAAGATATCATATTGCAATGAATTAATGTATGAATTGCTACTGATCCTGGTGCTCCTACACTGAATACATGAACTACTTAATCTAATATGATTAGATTATTAAGTAACTTGCTGAAAACAGATCTGTGCACGCCATCTTTCTTACCTCTGTTGTCCTCTGTCACTCAGGCATCCCTTCCAATGAGCACCTGTCTAGTTTACTCAGGTGTGAGGAGATGACCCTTGTGGTGGCTGGATTTTGCAGGAAGTATATAGTTTATGTATAGTTGATTATTTGATGTAGAAAAGGAATATGTTTTCAAGGCTCCCAGTTTCAAAACTACTATTTATTGTGTTCCTTGTCTTTTGTAAAAACAAACATCTGTACAACATGCAAATAAGTAGGTTAGGAATTTATCCAAATGGATCCTTAAGAAATACAGCCAGGAAATAGGTCACACTGGATCACGGCAAAGGATGGTAAAGCACACAACATGACTATACGCACCAACACACACGCACACACAAATGAAACCTGACATTTGAAAAACAGCAGATGCCATTCAAAAAATGTGTTTGATGAAAACATTGACAAATACATACTAAAACTTAGGTTAAAATAACAGGACACTTTCTGTTACATATTCTTTCCCATCTTTAAGAACTCTAAAGCTATTTTTTCAAATACTAACCTTTGTGACTACAAAGTATGCTTACTATGCCTGAAGGAATAGTGCATTATAATACATCAGATGAATTTTTATACCATTATCCAGAATGATTTTATGCCCAAAGTTCACTAACAATGAACAAAATGGTATATTTAAAATAATATACCATTTGGACACGAATGGAATAGTAGAATTTGCCTTAAGATGGTCTTTTTGGATACATAAAGCAAGTAATTGAGAGAAACAGAAAAATAAGGGAATCAAACCCTAAAGTGAGTAAAAACGGGAATCCTACTGAAGCAACAGTAAGTTTATAATTCATTTCACCTAAATTGCACGGGCACCCTCCTCTACTCTGTAAAACAATGGGGTCAGGCTGCCAAGGTAGCCTGAACTTTATTGTATTATTTTCACTCCTATGAGTGAAATTGCCCATTACTCTCAAATAATCAAGGCACGGTTGAGAACACAGACAAATCACAGTTCCTGCTCTACTGAGCATATCCCCTAACACTCATAGTTTACACAAAGAAAAATATTTGAATGAATATGAACTTTTCTATGCTTGAAAAGAAAAGAAGATTTAATGTAATGGGGGCAATCACTATGCTGTTAACCAAAGTTTCCAGGTTCTACAAATTCCTCTGGTTAGTTCCCAAACATTTTGAGACAGGAATCCATACTTGGAGTCTAATTGAAGAAGGATGGATAAGTAATAGCTACCAGGACTATATTTCAGAAATCCAGTGTTGATAGTGCCTCCCCCTAGAGAGCTTAGCAAAGGCACTCTAAGAACACTAAAATTTTTCCCTAATAAGGAAAAGCTGCCACATGTAATGGTGTAAATTATATGATGTCTTCCCCACTCTTTACAAAGTATATCAAGCTCAAAGTAGATCTGTAGGGGAGAGTAGTTTCTAAATCATCTCAAAGTCAAATATTTTCTTTTTCACCTTCATTTATGAAACACATTAGTAACGTAAGCCCCACTGAACCGCACATCAGCGTTAAGAGGAATGAGGTCCTGATTAAACACCTGGATCTCTTTAATAGCAACCACAATATAATCATCAGTAACCACATAGTTTTGGAATATTAAATCGGGAGTGTATGATCCCAAGCAAAGCTTTAGATGAACACCTCTAGTACCATTTGAGGTTCAGGGTGTGGAATTCAACAAATAATAGAGTATGAGTTGAAAAGGCATTTACATCCTAGCACCTGCCACTCATGGACTGCATGTATTTGGGCAAGGAATTGAACCTCCCTGAACTTAGGTTTCCTGTCCTTGAAACAGGAAGAATTACCATTCATGAGGCCCAGTCCACATAAGATTGTAGCAGCAGCAGCAGCTGCAGTAGTACAAGTAGAAGAAATACTAGTAATACAACTATTATATTTCGAGTGCTTACTCTGTGCCGTGAACTGAAATCACAGTGAAGTGGGATCCCATTTGTTATAGATGAGCAAGCTGAAGATCAGAGATAGGAACCTGTACAAAGTTGCATGTTACTGGCAGAATCTAAGTGTGAATACCAACTACTCTGACTCTAAAGGGTTAGGGTTATTCACAGCTCAAAATGCGTTCACACGGATCATCTAATGAGGCACCACAGTAATGTATGTTATTACTATAATTTTTAAAAAGTTGCTAAAATGGGGCCGGCCCGGTGGCGCACTGCTACAGTGCGCCGCTTGGGAAGCGCGGTGGCGCTCCCGCCGAGGGTTCGGATCCCACATACAGACCGGCCGCTCACTGGCTGAGCGAGGTGCGGGAGCAACACCGAGGGTTGCGATCCCGTTGCCGGTCCCGGTCCCGTATGGGCACGACACTGAGGGTTCCGATCCGCTGCCAGTCACAAAAAAAAGACAAAAAGGAAAAAAAAAGTTGCTAAAATGTATTTTTCTGCCGAATACGTAATACTGCTCTTAGCTAGAACACATCAACTCAGGAAACTAAGGAAAAGACATAAATGCATATGCAACTTGAGACCTGAAACAATGAAAAAATATGGAAAATAACTTTAAAATAGATACGACAGTTGGTGACATCACTGTCTACATTTGCTCATTCACACATATCTGTACAGAGTCCCAATCCACAAAAGTCAAATATCTCTCAAGATGCCAGTGGAAATTGCTGGAATCATTACAAAGAGCTGGGAGATTTGTTGTGTCTGGGTCATGGCTCCACAAGCCAATACTGAGGACTTGGCAGGCTGCACACAAGGGGTTATTAGAGACACATGACCAGCATGTTAGACTGCAAATAGCCTGTGGCCAAGTCTCCCAGGGATAACAAAGAACAGCAGGTTAGCAAATCGTACACAGCATCTATACAATGCCTTTGCCTCCTCCTTGGCAGCCAAAAACAATTATGGTCAATTGAAAAGCTAACAAAAGCATGCATATCAACTATCCCTACGCTCTCATAATTTTTCTAAGCATTTAAAATTATTCACCAAGGATAAGTAAACTAGATTATAGGTAAGTTCACCTGTTATTTGGTTGCAAACACTTTTCCAAGAAATAAGTTCAGTCCTGAGTGAAATGGAAAAGGCAAAAACACATTGACCTCTGTACTTCCCTTCCACGTTTCCATTTTTCTATGAGATTGTCCTTACTCCCTCCAGAGCCTCCCTGCTGCCCCTTGCTTATCCCACCTCAGGCAGCAAGGCCCCAAAAGTTCCTGGGCATCCTCCCTCTCCCTTTACTGTGTTGCTGCTCTTTGTTTCTTCTAGAAGAGATGAAATAAAACTCCAAGACCACAGTGTACAGTTTCAAAGAGTGTTCACTGCGTAATCTCAGGTGGTGCTTTTCACATCACTCTCCTCCTCCCAGAAACGGTTGAATCCCTCACCCTGGATATGTGTAGTTCACAATCTATACAACTGCACTCAGCAGCCCTCTGCACAGATCCAAAACCACAGTAGGACTAAAGAGTTTCATTCATCCCTCTGTTCATTCACTCTTTCAACTCAATAAATATTTGTTGCAGCTACTGTGCCCCAGACACTGACAGGTCCTTGGCAAATACCAGTAGATGATAACGTACAAGCCCTGCCCTCAAGGAGCTCACAGTCCGGCCAGGTCAACAATGAACAACATCACAGAGTAAAGCATGCTAGGCCAGAGGGGTGCCCAGGAGGGAACCCTGATGCAGTCTCGGCATCGGGGAAGGGAGAGCAGGCCTTACCACATTTGAGTTGATCTTATGTCGAAAGCACGTGATGTTCACCACGTAAGGCCAATCATCGGGCTCCATCAGCACCCCAGCAGCATGGGCACACGTGACATGGAAAGAGGCCGGGCAGCGGCCATAGGAACACTGGATGCAGGCTCCTGAGACCTTCTTAACTCGGTGTCTGCAGAAGATGCATTTCTGGAGGGATAAAACAGAGAAGAACATCAATTCACACTCTATAATTCAGCCCATTTCCACACTTCACAGAATAATAGCTATTAGGGATGGAAAAATCTGATTACACCAACAAGTCCCAACCCTCCGGGGGCCCAAGCAGCCAAAGCATCTGTGGCAACATAATCTGCTTACTTTAAAGGAAACACACTTCCATGGCCACACACTACCAGACATCTGTTCAAGCACTTCTTGTGGTTAGGAAAGTCAAAGTTTTGCACATGCTCCTCCAAGCACAGAGCTCAGGAAAAGGCCCCAAGGGCGCTCTTGTGAATCACCCATGAATGCTGAAGCTACTTCTGTTCTATCTCCTGAATGGCAGAGCTACCTGGACATGGAGAGACAGACTACAGGCTTCAAGGACAGGCGCATACACTCCTAAATGAGATGAGGTCTTCAAAAACACCCAAATGGCATACAGATGGGCTAAGTTTTCCATTTACAAGGAAATGAGAAGTGTTAAATGGTCCAATGTGGAAACTAGGAGCTCAAGTGTTTAATAATCCAAATCTGAACCCTTCATGACTGACACAAAAATATGCCTCCCAAAGTGAGAAAATTGAAAATCATCCCAAAGGGCATCATTTTGTTGACTATCTATAGCTGATGATGCCTGGGGAAGAGAAAATGAAAATAAAAACAGCAATAATGATTACCACAATTCAAAAATTAAATTGCATACAATTAGCCCTAAACATTATCAGTACATTTGTTACGAGAGATAGTGAAAATCAAACAGCCTCACAAAATGTAAGATTTGTGAACTAATACTTGAGGGTTAGGAAAAAACTGTTTTTGAACAACATAAGTTCAGGTTTGGAAAGCAGAAGAAACAGAATGAAAGCTCTGCAATCTGATCAAAGGTCGGCGCAACTCCTCCTTTCACAGGTACATTTTCTTCCTGGTACAAAAAAGGCACTTAAACTCAATGACTTTAGGGGACTGTAATATTTTATCACAGATCTGCAAGAATCAATGTGCACTTAACTTCTCATCTTTGTCTTCACATTTGATCAGCGACTCAGTTTTACTGATTCAGTTTCTTAATCTTAATCTGATCTCTCTCTGCCCATCTACACCAACTTCCATGGCCTCCGCCCCTGGTGTTTTGCCCAGCATAGTAAAAGCCTCCTATCTTTCATTTCATTCCATTTCAATTCACCTTCCCCAGGGCTGCTGAGTGATCTCTTTACAACATAAATACCCACGTGCCACCACCCTGCTTAATATCCTTCAATGGCTTCTCCACATTTCCAAGTCATTCCAGAGAAAAAAATAAAAATAAAAATAACAGCATGGGATGGAAGAGCAAAGCTTATAAAAGACCCTTCATGGTCCACTTGAGCAGTTTTATCTCTTACTAGTCTCTTTAAGGGCCCTATACTCCAGGCACTTACCTGATTTCTCTATACATCCAGATTCGATGTGCAAGTAAACACTTTTAAGAGGGGTTGAGGATGTGGCTTAGCTGATTAAGAAACCACACACACACACCCTCCACACACAGAGCATCACAGAACTAAAACCAGACCCAATCTGCATGAAGGCATTACTTCATCTTATCTTTGTATCTTTGGAAATCATTGGTATCAGTTTCAAAATGTTCTTGGTAATTCTTGGTATTCTGGTATCTTTACCAATTCCAATCATTTGAAAGGTCATGACAGGCATAAGAGTAAAAACTTGTATCAAGAGCACAAGGAATAATCAGACAATCTTTTAAGAACCTAATTATACAACACAGAGATAAGTGTTTGAGTAAGTTCATATACTGACAGATGTATTAAAGGCAAAAATGTTTCCTATTTTCCTAATTAAGTAGGATCTTTTAAAAGGTAGGAAAGAGTGCTGTGATCCAACCAATTATAGAACTGGTATCTCCCAAACTCTGCTATCATTAACTTCCTCATTACACTAAGGCCCTCCAAAAAGAGGGAAGGACACAGAGAGACACTTAATCCCAATGGGGATTCAAATTTCTCATCTAAGAAGGGACATGTCCTCTCTCCAGAGAACCACAAGTGGTAATTTCTAAGGATAGAACCACAGTATCCTTAAAAAGGCAATCTAACTGTAGACTGTTATAATTCAATGCTTTGGAAATGTTTATTTACTGAGTTGAGAAGTGTGACTTAAACATCACACAGGCTCTTGCACAGAGAGAGAACCCCACGAGACCTACTGGAAAGCCATTCTAAATGTACACTGTAGTACAGTCTACACAGTATTTCCGACCCCCATTTTCATTTGCTTGCTGCTAACCCAGTTTTTCTCCACTCTGGCTGAAACATCTGCCCCAATTTGACACCTACACATGTCTAAGCTACAGAATCTAATCCAGTAGGTCAAAGACACCTAAGACAAATAAGACACTTCTTAGGCATGTTACAATGGAGTAAGTGCTATGAGAGAAGTAGGAACAAGATGTTATATGGAATTAGAATGACTGGCACAATGAGCCATGCTTGGGGGCAATGGAGGGAAGAAGGTTTTAAAGCAAAGACTGGATCAAGATGGCAGACTCAGACACTGCTACCATTTACCCAGTCCCAAACACTAAGTAAATATATAGGAAAAAGAATGAAACCGTAATAGCACTGACAAACAAGAGAGTGCAGTCAGAGGACCAGAAAATGTGTGGAATTCCTAAACCATGAGAAACAGATGGAACTAGATCAACAGAGAAACCAAAGTAGATATGTACCAATCCAAAATGAGAACAGGGAGAACAGCTCTCTGCTCAAATGCTTCAAAGATACTCCAAACCAAGAATTCACAATTAAAAGAGGAAACTCTAAGTCAACATGAGCTAATTACTCTATTTTAAAACAGTGCACTTAGAAAGTCTGCAACACTATGCTTCTAAAGGTTCTTACACATACTAAGAAATGATAGGCACTGCTCCAGGACAGCTGGGTTAGTTAAGGTTTTCCCTATCCCTGGCCTACTGAGACACTGAGGATTCTGCCTTTGGAATAAACCCTTGAGAATTACCAGGAAGACAAAGTGAAGAATATAGTAGGGCAGAACTCCTACCTCATATGAGGGTTGAAGTTGGAGGGGGAAGCAGGAAAAACCCTGAATCAACCCCCAACTTCCTCAAGGTGAATGGAGTTTAGGTATAAAAATGTGTAATAAATTAAAAAACAAAATTAAAAAGATGTGTGTTTGGTGGGGAAGAGAACGAAAAGATAACGGTAGAGAGCACTAGACTCCAGGGAGCTGGTTGCCCAGCAAAAGTCTGTTAGTAGGTATCTCTCAGGGGACAGTTCTGGCAAGACTAATGCAAAGAATGGAAGTAAACACCCAAAAGACAAAGCTACCCATTGCTGGACCAGTCCCATGGCCTGCCCTGCCCCTGTCTTCATCAGCAGGTGGAGTGATCTGTCCTGATCTGAATCTGAATCCTGTGATCTGAACCAGCATTCACCAACAAGAAAAGCAGATTCACACGTAGGCTGAGGAAAGAAAAAGTACACCTAAGATGTGCAACTCATCTATAAACAGACTCTTTAAAAATGAAAAACATTTGAAGAAAGCCAATGCCATAAAAGAGAACTGCTCTAATTAATAAATAGAATAATAACATCTAAGGAGTCAGGTAAGTGGAAACAGAAGATGAATCTGAAATAGGTACAGTGCATATCATAAGAGACTCCAAAATATATCCCATCAATTAAAAAAAAAATGTAACAAGGACACAGTCAGCTCTAAGAATTTTTAAATATTATTGGCAAAAAAACCAAGATGTGCTGAATATTGGAATGAATACCACTAAAGATCAAATTAGCAACTGGAAGATGAAGCCTAGAGATTGTATAGTCATAGAAGATCACAAAGGAGGAGGATGGAATGCAAATGCTAAGCAACACAGAAAAGATTCAGATGTTCTCTAATCTTTCTAAATGGCATTCCTGAGGAACAGAAAAAGAGAAAATAATAGAAATTTTTCAGACCTGAAGGCCCAACAGGTAGGATTAATAACAATTTTTAAATCACCTAAGCACATTCTATACATATATTAGAACTCAAAATCAAAAGAGAAAATCTCAAAAGCTTCCAGAGAAGAAAAGAGAAATGTCAGATTACTATCAGGTTTCTCATCTGCCATAGTGCACGCTAAAAGACAATGAAATGATATCTTCCAACTGCTTTAGAAAAATTTGGTCTACATCCAGCCTAACTATCATTAAACAGTTAAGCCAACATAATGACTTTTTCTTTCCTTTTGTTTCACATTCAAGGATCAGACATAGGCGTGAAGAAGTGAACAGCAATCAAAATGTTATACATGTGAACAAGTATAAATGAATATTGACTTTACAAACAATAACGTAATGTCTTCTGGGTTTTAAACATAGAATTTAAACAGATGGCAGTTATAGCATATAAGGAAGAAGTAAAAAAGTAAATTTAAAATATTCTAACATTCTTGAATTATCTGGGAAAAAGGTAAAAGTACCAATTAACTAATTGTGAAAAAAAAAGAATAATAAAAAATAATCCAACAAAAGTCAAGAAAGGAAGAAAACAGAGAACAGGAGTGAGCAAACAGAAAACACATTGTAAATTGGTAGAACTAAAACCAAATACATTAGAATTTTATGCTAAGTTTAAACTTTATTCTTTAGACCACAGTCCTTTTTCTTAAAGTGCCTGATAATAAATATTTTAGGCCTGTGGGCCATACAGTCCCAGTTGCAACTACTCAGCTATGCCATTGTAGCACAAAAGCAGTCACAATAATACATGGGCACGGTGTATTCCAATAAAACTTTATTTACAACAATGAGCACATGGCCTAGTTTTCAGATCCCTGTTATAGGCCTTGGGCACATATTTGAAATCAATAAGTTGTGAAGTGATTGAATTAGCATTTAAGAAACATCACTCTAGCAGCAAGGAGGATAAAGGACAAACTGACAGGAAAAGAAGTCGTTTGGAAGCCATGGAAATACTGAAGC